CCCTTTGTCACTTTTCCCTTCTCTTCTTATAGCATAACTGAGTGACATTTATTCTGCATCACAAGATCTCATCCTCCAGGAGAGGAGATGGACATACAATATGAGAGGGAGAAAAGGAGGAAGGGAGGGCGGGAAGAGGGAGAGAGAGAGAGAGAGAGAGAGAGAGAGAGAGAGAGAGAGAGAGAGAGAAACTCTCAAAGCTAGCGGAAAATCAACTCTGGAAGTTTTACAACATATAGAGAAATAAAATGTTGCTCAGATTCAATAATAGCACCAAGAGATGAGTGACATGTGACCTCAGAAAAGACTTTCCTAAGTGTAGGAGAAGCCAAGTGGTGGCGGTTATGAACAGAGAAAAGTCACAGTAGTACAGTTGGTGTGGCAACAAGTCTCAAAGAAATCTGCACTATCAAGTCACTAATTCTTTCAGTATTTCCAGCAAGACTGAACTCCTAATTCACAGATTATTTTCGTCAGTATCAACCTTTGGTTCATTTCTGCCCTGACAAGTCAGGGGAAAGATGGGGAAGGATGAACAAGACTTTATCTTTGTATCTTTTATATCTGAACTGCCATCAAAAGATACATTTAATCCAAGTGAGAACACAGGAGACAATGCATTCATTCAGAAGTTAGACATAGAAATTATTTGTCATACAAAGAATTTATGGTGAAATTTAACTTTCTTAGCTAAGAACAATCATTGCATTTTATATTGCAGAAACAGGTGGTATTGTTAATATCTTAGGAAAAATTTGTTCATTTTTATAATTGCATGTGTATTACTTGTTTTTCCTTCATATCTACATCTAAAAGAGTAATGTTAAATATGAAAATGAAAAAGAAGTTGTGAGAGACGATGTTTACTTTATGTAGGCTGTGGAGTGGGGGAGAGCTCACAAGGCTGAAGATTCTGCATCTTTATCTGACATAAATTAAGCTTGGATATGGCTCTTCAAAGACTGTGAGAAAGTTAATGAATAAGACTTGAGGAAAGAGGAAAACAGAACTCCCAAGAAAATTTAAAAAGGATATTTCAGAGGAATAAGAAAATCACTTAAAATCAACACTTTCAGGAAATTGGCAGGATAAAAAATCAATTTTAAAAAGTCACTAGCCTTTCTATATGCCAATAAAAATTAATGAAAGAGAGAGTTCATGGACACACACCCATTCACAATAGCCTTAAAAAAATCTAGTAATGAGTCTAACCAAGTAAGTTCTAAAATCCCTATAATTAAACCTTTCAATCTTTGAAAAAAGAGGCTGAGGAATACTAAGGAGATAGAAAGATCTCCCATGCTCATGGATTGGTAGAATTAATATTGAAAAAAATGACCATCCAACCAAAAGTAATTTGTAGATTCAATGCAATCCCCATTAAAATCCCCATGATATTCTTCACAGAAATAGAAAAAAAAAATCCTAACATTCATATGGGATTACAAAAGATCCCAGATAGCCAGAGCAGGCCAGAGGCCAATGTTGGAGGGATCAAAATACCAGTTCTGAAACTATATTACAGAACTATAGTCATAAAAACAGAATGATATTGACACAAAAACAGACATATAGATCAATGGAACAAAATAGAAGACCCACACGAGTTCATGCAATTTCAATCGCCTGATATTTGACGAAGGAGCCCAGAACACACACTCATATATATTTTATGAGTGCATGTGTATTGCTGAGACTATATAACAAAATCACAGTAGAGGCAGGCGAAACCCCCATTTGAATTGTTGCTCATGGTAGTCCAAGAGACTCCCAAAATAATACATGTTATTGCTGTAGACCATGATTGTCCACTGGAACTTGAAGGTGAGACCCTATTGCTTAAGACAGGATATGCTGTACATGAAGTTATCAGAAAAAAAGTGATGGGGAGATATGGGAGGAGTTGGAGGGGAGGGAGTAGATTTGATCAAAATGCCTTATATGCATGTATGAAATTCTCAATTACGTATTTATTTTTTTAAGTATAAAATTTTACATGTGGCTATATTAATGACTGACTACTAGATCAATATGCAATGTACATTTCAAACAATATATCAAGGATACCTCATCTATATGTAAAATATGGTGCCATCAGCAAATAAAGATTTCATTTCTATTAAAAAAAAAAGACAGGATGTACTTCAGACAAAGACTTGGAGCAATTAAGCTGGAACTGATCTGGAAGCCTTCTCCATGAAGACTAGCTCCCATAGTATCAGAAGATGTTATGCTACTGCCAAGAGAGAAAACTATCTGGTGGTTCCATCCATCAGTAAAGTCTATGAACCACAAGAATGGCCAACCGAGAAAATAATCTTTACTAGTGCAGTAGTGGCACTTTTATCTTAAGGGTAATCAATGGGTATCTAATTACTTAAGGCCCACTCAAGGAGAGGAAACTCAGGTATGGTATTGCAAATAACAAATACACATGGCTGGAGAGGTCATAGATCCTAGAGAAAAGCCTACTTTTGTCACATCACTAGGCCAACATAATTTCTTACTGTCTTCCAGGTATGTATCCCTATATTTATAGACTGCTGTTACTATATCTCAGCATTCATCTGGGAAGCTTCTTTATGCAGCAGATAGAGACTATTGCAAAGTTCCACGACTGGTCAAATGCAGAAAATAAGTGTTTGTGAGGTGCCCGATGCTAAGTGACATACCTGCAATGCAACCTCTACGCCTAAAGCTCAGGGAATATAACAAAACAGGAGGAAGAAAGAATATTAATGTATCTCTCAACTCTCATCAGCAGAATACATGAGGTTTGGTGGGGGAATGGGGGAAGGGGTCTGAATTTGATTAAGAATGTTGTATGAAGTTGCAAACGTTCAGTTAAAAAAATAAACTCAAAAAATGGTTTTGAAAGCATTTGTACTCTGATTAATGAAATAACATTGCTTATTTTCCCAATTGTTATGCTTTCCTTAGCCAATGAAAATGATGTCATCTAGATGGCCTTTAAATATGTCAACTAGCATTAAAATATATTGCAAATCAGTGTCAACAGTTAATTATAAATACCTTCATTAGACATAGTCCCTTCCGTAACATACTCGTAACATTTTTAAATTCAAATCAGTTGAGTCGTGGGAAGGGATTATCCATTAGCTAATTCAACCATCTATAAAAGATTTCAAGTTGCTGTGGAACTTAGCATTGTTTTCAAGAACACAAGAGGACCAATACATCTACCTTATTAAGAAGTCCAAGCTAAATTTCCTTCTTTCCAAAGGTTGGTATCTTAGTTTTGCTTTAAAATATATTATTTTGTTTGTACAAATTTTGAGATAATCATTTATAAATTTTCTGATTGTAATTATATGGCATAATCCTTTCCAATCATTGAAGCAAGATTTTTTTAAAAAGGAAAGTTTAGAAATTAATTTATTCACTCCTTTCTACCCATAGACATTTATTAGATTTCAACCACGGCACCTGATAAATCTCAAATCTTGCTAAGTGATTATTACTCAGTCAAAATACAACAGAATTATAACTAATAAAGTTATGTTATAAATGTAATAAGAGAGATCTACACAATTCACTGTGGTTACTAAGAAGGATAGGCTTAATTAACTATGTCTGAGCAGCTCAGAGAAGATTTTACATAGAAGAAGAAAAGACAGTAGGAACTAGGACTGGAGAGCTGCTCTTGCAGAGGACCTGAGTTTGATTCCCAGCACCCACATGTCAGATTACAGTCCATAACCCCCATTCCAGAGGAAATGATGCCCTCTTTGTCCTCCATGGACATTGTACTTACACACATGCAGGCAATACACTCATACACATAAAATTAAAAAAATAAAAATAATAAGTAAAATATGTTTTAAAAGACAGTAGAAACTGCATTTGCAAATGATGTTTTCATTAAGAACATAATGCACAGACATAACATGTTTGGTGCGGTTGGAGCACAATTTATGTCTTAACAGCATCACTACGTGGTATCCTTTATTTGTGCTCCTCTAGCCCTTTAGACTGAGTCCTTCAGATTGAGATCAAAGATTGCATCATAGCTATTCTGTGACTTCCCAACAAGAAGCACAGTACTTGGTCCACAGTTGGATCAGTGTTTCTTGAATGATATACCAGTGGAGTAAGTGGATGAATGTGCACTCTAAGGCTCAGAAATACTAAGTGTTGGTATGTCATTCTGAAAATACATTTCCAAAATTTTCCTAATTATATCATTTAGATTTTATTATGTCCTTGGGGGGGGTAGGAAAATATTACATGCAATTATTGTTGCTTCTATAGGCCTTTGTGTAGTGTCATTAACGGTCACTGCATCTGCTTTACACCTGCCTTTTTTCTCCTCAGACAGCTGCAAGATCGCGTCTACCCTACCATGCCACTAAACTTCACTGTCAAAGTTGTAAATGCCCACAGCATTGGCACATAATGGGCTCATTTCAGTCCAGTCTTACTGAACGATTACCAGACTGCTTCTGGTCTTCCACACTCACACTGTGTTCTCAGAGTTCTGCCTTCATTTAGGCTGTCTCCAATATCTGGAATGTCAGCACACACACACATAGGCATGCATACATACACACACACGTACAAATGCACACACATGTGCATACCTATATAAATACATGTACACACATACACACAAATCCCTTCCTAGTTTCACACCTAGCTATCACTTATGCACTAACTCTTAACTTTTTGCATGTGAATCATTTCCTCCAACAGGCCCATAGCCCACACGGTGTAACAGTATTATATAGTCTAGAATTATACTTCTGTGTTACTCTGACTGACTATAAGTAAAATTTGGGAGTTAGAAGTAGATTTATATGCATTTTTGTGTACTGTAACTTTACTGTTATTCATGACAGATATTCAGTATCTCAATGTTCTCATTATTAATAAGAAGAATTTAAAAATCAAGACAGAAAAGTCTTTTGACAAAGTAATTTTATTTAAATGGATTAGACGGTAGTGAGACCTCTCACTGTTTACCAAGCAGCAGAGTCACCATGGCCAGGAAGAGGATTGCTGTGATTGGAGCTGGAATCAGTGGCATGGGGGCCATCAAGTGCTGCTTAGATGAAGATTTGGAGCCTACCTGCTTTGAAAGAAATGATGATATTGGAGGCCTGTGGAAATTTCAAGTAAACATAGATTTTGTTTGGCTTTAAGCATGTAACTCCTTAAAATAGTTTTAACAATTTGGATGGTTTCTTTAAATGGATCATATAAACATCACACTTTAGGAGTCATTTCATGAACCTAATTTTCTTGCTTTTGCCACTTTCAGGAAATATGTAAATAGTGTCAGCTTCAGATTAGGAATAAACTTGGAGGATTCTTTTCAAAGCAGCAGAAATCCCATGCAATTCTCATAAATATTAGGAGAAGGATGATGGTTGAGGATTATTGTAACTGTTTAGATGTTATTTTGTCCAAGGTTAGGAATGTAACAGATTTTGGTTATAGGCGAGGATGATGGTCTACTGCTATCCTTCTACTATGTAATTTGATATTCTGTCCTTGGGTAATAACTGCATGCTACCTTTGCTTAAATATTCCAGGGCACGGTGTGAGGATGCTGGTATGGGGGCTGTGTGTGTGTGTGTGTGTGTGTGTGTGTGTGTGTGTGTGTGT